CAGAGAAGGTTAGGGTTAGAGTAGAGAAGGTTAGGGTTAGCAATAAAGGTTAGGGTTAGGACAGAGAAGGTTAGGGTTAGAGTAGAGAAGGTTAGGGTTAGCAAAAAAAGGTTAGGGTTAGAGCAGAGAAGGTTAGGGTTAGGGTTACAGTAGAGAAGGTTAGGGTTAGGGTTAGCAGAGAAGGTTAGGGTTAGGGTAGAGAAGGTTGCATAGATAAATTCAGAGGTTTTTCTTTTAGGTTGTGGCGATACAAGGAGAACAATAAAAACAGCGATAACATATCCTATTGGATAGCCCATCTTCAATGATAATTAATAAACTGCTGCTGTAATACATACAAACTGTTTTTTCTATGAATTAAAGAATTTTAAACAAAATAAAATGTCAAATTTTGACTTTCAAAATTCACTAATCTGCTCCAGTTTTACATTTAGCAGAAAGAGTTCCATTTTAGTGACGAAAAACCATAAAAAAGTCCAAAGTCCTGTGCTTTCTGAGTACTGCATTATATGACAGGAAGCTGTGATGAGGATTCATCATGGAGGGTGGTGGGGCTGTGAATATGAATCTAACAGCTGACATGAACTGCCGGTCATTTCTCCCCTCTTCTTCCTCCTCAGCAGAGTACAATGACTGGCCAGATGAGAGGCATAACGGCCAGGACAAAGGTCAAATAACTTAAACCGTAAGCTGGAAGAAAATAACCAACAGCATAATGTCCTTCCATCAACACAGTAGTTGGAAGCCAACAAGTTGTAGTGTGGCCGCTAGATGGCTAACCACAGGTTTCTTCAGTTATTTCGACGTGTTTTGGGAATTTGCCAGATGGCCGACCAAAAAAAAGGAGAAAAAAAGATACATCTCTGCATTTGTAACAGTAAAATGTCATTCTGAGACCGGCTGCTATGGGAAACTGACTGTAACATCCTAAAAATGGAAGGCTCATACCTCTAATAAGACATGCTTGCATGCCTCCACAAAAGGAGCTATTAAAAACAAATCCTGGATTCAGAAGGATATACAACTTAAATGAATTCTACCCGGCTTTTCTGTACATGGTCAGTTGAGTTAAAGGTGCCCCCTACTGCCTTTATTCCTCAGACTAATTAAAAAAAGGCACATTTGAAGGTGGCTGCACCAATTGTTCTACTGATTAACAAGTTCCTCCTTCGGGCAAGAACGCCATTAGTGCAGGGAGGGGGTTATCAATCAAGGAAAAAAACCAAACATGATGGAAATAATTAGCTACTAAATCTTCAGAAACAGTGGCTGTCTTATGTAACTGAAAGCTCCATCTGGGTCGGCCCAGCTCTGTGCAAGCAGCCAACAAAATGATCGCCTCTAATCTCTGCCTGTGGATACGTCTCACGGAGAAACGGTTACCCCTCCACATGTGTCCGCGCTGGTTATCAACCGTTAGCCTGGAGGTTATGAGTCACGAGCGAACTGCCTATTAGCACCTCGGCGGCACATAACAACACCCGAGTGTTGTCCTGCGTCGCTCGTAAAACGGTGTATTCATTATTCAACATCATAAATTGGGCATTTATCTGCCATTTGATGCTCTTCTGAGTTTGTTGTGCTTGAGCTGCTTTTTCTTTAACGCCTGTTTGCATAAAGTAATGCAAGACCAATACAGACTGGGTTGGGTAGGCCTCTCCATAGGGCTGCTTTAAGTGCTGACTAAACACATTTTTTACCGAAGTCATTCATCACCCTTGACAATTTAAACCAAGTTTCGATCAATAACGTGACCTATGGTGCACTGCCAGCAATAAAACCGAATGAAGCACTGCGCCATGCACATAGCCACACCCCCCTCTCCTCCCCCACCCCCACCCATCACTGCCCTTGGACTGAGAGATGCTGCCATAGAGCAGGCCAGAGCTCTGCAACACACTCACAAGGATTTCAATTAGACAAAGTGAAAAGGGAGCTAAAGCCAACTGAGAATTTAAGGAAATGCCAGGGGAATGAGCGGAACAGAATGAAGCAGTGTCCCTGCGAAGAAAGAAAAAAGAAAAGAAAAAAACATTACATAACGTTGTGAAACATCTGTGGCAGCCCCATGATGCTGAGTCACAGCTGAGGTTCGGTGACTGAAAACATCTGGCTGAACGTGGAGGGTGTTAAAAAAAGAAAAAGAAAAGAAAAACTAATAGCTACATCCAACTGAAAGGAAAAAAAAGGTGGGGAAAAAATTAATGAATAAATAAAGTGAAAAACATCTCATCACCTAAAAGGAGAAACCTTTATGTAATGTGTAATTGAAAGATTATCAAGAAGAAGCAGGACAGAATGAATCAGTCTGTTTTTGTCTAATCACATTGGAGGGTTTCTATGTAAAGAGTACATTTCTGAGTAGTTTAAAAAAAAAAGGGAACCAGATCAGCACCAACAACTTCCGCAAAGTTATTCATAACAGTCATTCATCCCTTGCAAGTGTTTGTAAGGACGATCTGTGGGCTTTGAATGCGTCACTGGCTTGGACTGTAAATAGGAATTTACTGTGCGCGCACAGCCACCACCCATGGGTTTGACTGTCGCAACACAGCGCTGGGCCCCGTCTGTTATTTTCCGTGTTTTGTAAAGACAACGCCGTGTTTTTCCCATCACATCACACGCTGGTCTCCACGCTCGCTCTCCCGCACACCCCTCCCCCTTCCATACAGGAGGTCCCCTCTACACTTGCTGATTGGAAGTAAAAGAGCCCGTGGGAGCAGATCTGATCAAACTGTCCGCACCGTGTCCTGAATATCTCCGCGGCTGATGTTTGGAAATGCTCATTTGTCAATATTTCGGATGCTTGCGGTGCTTTATGAGCCTTTCCATGTTTGTGGTCACACCCTCTGCATCCTTGGGGGTGGAGCACTGTGGGAGCTGCTCCGGTAGCAAAAACTGTAGATCAAAATCTGACATTTCTCACAGGCTCTCAAGAGGGTTTTAATTACTTTCTAGTTGACAAAAACAAAAAACAGTTCAAATTGAAAAGAAAAAGTCTTATGGAATAGACTTGTGCTCTCTACTCACAAACGACCAGACAAAGAATGTGTAAACAAATAGAATACATTAGCAAGTTGCACTGATGCTTATTTCACAGACTATTATTTAGAACTTCTTTGGACACACTCTAAAGCCCTGGATGAAACCTTTTTGATAAAAGAAGATGTTCAAGGACCAGTCCCTGCGTTTGGGTCCCGACAGGGCACCCACATTGGCTTTACGTTACAGTTGTGGTGGATATATTATTTTCATGTAAATATTAAATAATTTGCTTTTGGGATAAATATTTTTTTCCCCCACATTTAACTTAACTGAATGTGCATCTTTTATTTGAAAACTATGGGGTTATATTTAAGATAGCTATCCAGTAAATTAGTCCATCACAAAGACATGAAGACAAACTAATGGGTTCATGTGTTGTTCCAAGAATGTGGTATGACCTACAAAGCGCTACAAGAACTGTCTATCTTTAGGAAACTCTTAAAGACCCACCTCTTCAAAGAGCATCTCCTATCTTAACTCTTACCCATACCTCTATACTACTTTTTCTGCTCGTCCCTATATCTCTTTGCTGTCACCACTGACTGACTAGGGATTTTCCTCTAGAGAACTAATGATAACTGTAACATTGTGTCTACTTTTTAGTCGCTTTGGATGAAAGCGCCTGCTAAATGCATAAACATAAACATAACATACACACTCGCTCTTACAGACAATTTAGAGTCATAAATGAACCTGTCGTGCACGTGTTTATACAATGAGAAGAAGAAACCCACGCATAAAAGTAAAAAAAAAAAAGACGACAATCATTTTACACAGAAATTTAATTATGTGCAATTCTAAAGACAACGTCCCTCTACCACCATTCGGCTTTATGGTGCCATGTGAGATGAATAGCTGCTACACCGATGATGCAATCCAACTTTGAGCCAAATGAACCAGAGAAATGTCTAAGTGCTTAAAATGCGGTAGCGGCTTCATATCTTGGTTTCATTTTATGCAAATATTTTCACCAACGTCCATCCGAGTCAACTCTAACGCAACGCAGCATACTTGTCAGCTGGGTATGAGCCTTTACAGCAAAACAATATGGTGTTATGAGAAAACTGGACCTCAACGGGGGCCTTAGAATCTTTTGTACTGGGCGGAGGGGGGATCAAGGTTTTAGTTGATGACAGTTATGCTGTTACAACCCCTAAATTCTCACAAGCGACACCAGCTGCTTAATAATGACTTTATGAGAGATTCTAAGGCAAACTGAAATGACACAAGGACTTTAGTGATGTAACCAACTGAAAGTACTGATTAATCTCATTTGAAGGGCAAACATTAAGTGCAGGCTATGGCTCTCTCCTTTACTTCGACAGCCATGTAATAGAGACAACATCCAGCACACATCTCTGCATTTGGCAACTCTTCTCCGATGAGACTCAAAGATGTAAACTCTGAAGCAAACAGCAGACGTGCCAGGGACGAGTGTCTGAGTTTCTCATATTGTCTATATAAGCTAATGTATCGACCACATGTTTGCTCCCTCACTCTCTCAGCAGCCCAGTCAACATAAGACAAGGTTGGAACAAATTCCATCCGACAACAGACACGCGCACACACACACACAAACACACACAGAGGAACTCACTTATTTTGCCCTAATTCTGGCTACTGTTCCAACAATCCGTCAGCAAACCAACACATGTTTTTTTCCTTAAACCGATCCATAAGAGAGTATGAATGTGCACGATTGCTTCTCTTTGAGAGACTGCTTAAAACATTTCGAGATGGAGTTAAGAGATCACCGGGCATCTAAAAACAGCAATCCAATACACTTGTAACTAGAAAGCCTTTGCGAAATTCACAGCTCAACCGACCCATGTTACGTTTCTCTTTTAATTTTGATAAGTAATCTTCCTTCCCCTGCACCAGAATTATTTTGGGGCTTTTCATTAAAAACCTAAATATAAAAGCGTTTCTCCAAATTAGGACAGGAAAAAAAAACTGAGAAAAAAAAGAACGAACTGCAGTCAGGTGTGGTTCCATATTTAATAGTTTTCACCTGAAAATAAAGAAATAAATGACCCGAACGCAGTGATTTATGTCGCTTTAGAGGATCTGTAACAAAAAGGAAGCAACAGTCCTGTTTCCCATGAATAGAAAAGGCGCCCTCACCTGATTCGCAAACCACAGAGCCCGGCTTCAGGTCCAGCATCATGGTGATGGTGGCGATGTCGGTGGTGTAGAGAATCTGGGTGCGGTGCGGCAGGGCGACTGTCCAAAGCTCGGGGGTCGGGTGGAGCACATAGACCCAGCCGCCTTTGCTGCAAGTTACCTTTGATCCGTAGCGCTGACCAATAAGGTCCGTGGAGTGGCGAATCGCCCCATAGCGGGTCTGTGTTTGGGCGCCATGCTGCACCTTGACGGGCATCAAAGAGTTGTAGCTCAGGTAAACAATGGCGACGTCCCCATCTTGAATCAGGTCGTTATATTCCACAAAGCTCATGGCGAAAAAGATTACGCTGAAAACAAGAAAAAAAACAATTCAAACACGATTTAGAAATGTAAGCAGTTTGTCTCTGTTTTTCGAGCAGACTATAGTTTTGCATTGATTATGGCTGGTGGTGGTCTATGCTGTTCATGTAACAGCTGAACAAAGGATCAGATTTCTCTCAGGTAATGCTGATAAACTAATCAGGGAAAGGTTTGCGTTTGTTGCTGGGTCTTTATTTGCAGCTATGCCTAAAGAGGTCATGTGGGTCATGGGTAAGCTCCACTTCATTCAGGCTGTCCTTGCCAGTTAGCCACTGACTGCATGCTAACTGTATGGAAATTCTGTTTTGAGATTTGACATTAAGGCAGTTTAAAAAAACAACAACAAAAAAACAAGTTTAAAGTCCAAGTCAACTGGTCTATACTTCTGGGCCGACCAAATTTCTGATTGGTCGACCAATTTGCATGTTAATTCCATACTGTCTATGGTTAATTTCATCAGGAAGAAGGTACTAGGAGTTAATGGGGGCGTTTAGAGCACCCCTGTTTCACAGGTAACGCCTGTCTTCAGAGAACACCCCCTTTTTTCACTAATTTGGATTAGCCCAACATACTAGTTCCAGTTCCCGTTATCCACAGCTTTGAGCCTATACTTTATTTTTTAAGAAATGCAGTTTTATTTCGTCTGCACTTGTTTAATAAAGATTGTATGTTATAGCCATATTCTGCCATTCCAATACATTTTCTTTAATAAAGGGCAATTATATTGCGTTACGTGTTGTCAGAACAGTCGTGCCATACCGCCGGTCACACACTTTAACTGTACGACCGAACGAGTTTGGATGTTTGTGATAACTTCATCAAGTTATCTATCTAGTGCTCAAACAAAAACCAACAAATTTGAAAAATATTAAAAATTTTAATCTTGTTGCCAACGTTCCACAGTTGCCTTAGGGACGCCACTGCCGCGTGCACTGACCGGTATAATAGAACGTTTAACCGTTTGTTTATTTGTGAAAGATCACAACTTGAAGACGAACAGGTCGACATCCACACTCGCTGTTTTGAAGAAACAAACGGGACGAAATATGTGTGAGAACATGGAGATGATGTAAGTAATAGCACTTATTAATTGTTGTTTTAAGTGTTTTATGAGTAATTTACTGCATTGATCTTAGAAACTTTATGAAACTCATGGCTACTCAAATTCTTAAGGAATGTTGAACGGCAATTTTTTATTTATTTAGCTTCTTCATATATTAGATCAAGCCACCTGAATCTAATACACATTTCATTGCTCTAAGGGAAGAAGCAACACAAAGGAGATAAATATGACTGTTGTTGAATACCTTTTTCTTTAATAAAAGTTTTTCAGTTAACCGTTGTCGAGACCAACATTCGACAGCCAACTGCTGTTAGCCTACAGACGTTAATACAAATTTGGCATTCATGTTTGTTTCTCTTTAACAATAAGCATATGATATAACTGGTCACAGTGGAAATACAAATCTTGCTGTTTCGAGATAACTTACCACGACTTTGCGTTTGAGCGCTACACGTTGTTTCGTCTTCCTGGGTTGATGCTAACGTTAGCTAGGCTTAGCTAACTTGGTTTAGCCGGTAAAAGGAACGGTTGAAAATTCCGAATGTTCTTTTCCTCGCAACCGTTACTCTTTAGATGCGCGGAATCTTAATAAGCAGAGACTTGGACCCCAAAACGAGAGAAGACCGCAGTATCGCTCGTATGTTTTGGGAAGAAGGGACAGCCACTCGTTTGCTACCCCTGCACGTGGTATTGTTTTCACCGGAAGTCGTGTGGGAGACACCGGATGAGACGGCATGACACTAGTCAGTTAACCAGTTGTACAGGCAAACCCGATTCAGGGATGCTGTATGAATATGATGTCAAAGATGCATTAAAAAAAAAAAAACCTTGAGAAGAAACAAAAAAAGAGAGAAGAAAAAACGCCTGATAAATTTTGTTTTACAATTGACTGCGCACCACCATCGTCGCCGTTTAACAGTGATGGAAGCTGTACTGAGATCAGTTATTTTCCAACGTTCCAGATTTTGATTAAAAAATAAGAAAACCCTCGCTTTCACGTTCTTAGACGATCGAGCTTTATATGATAAAAAAATATCGAATTAGGGAAGAAATATCAACGTGCAAAGGGGTATTCCTGTTGGAGCCAATTCCGCGTGTCCAATTGAATGAATGGACTACAAATAACTGGCCAATGGGAACAGAGAGAGTCTGCTATAAATGTCCATCTCCATTCGCGAGTCGGCTCTGAGAGCTTCTGGGACGTTGGTGGTGGTTTGTGAGCTCCTCGAGCGGAAAAATAGGGATCTTTGTATCATCCCCAAGTAGTAGTTCTAGCAGTAGTCCACAAATCCGGAAACAGGTAGGGGCTTATTTGATTTGATTTGATTTTTTAATTTTATTTCATGTTAGCCAGTAAGCGACATAATTATTTTTTTGATACATAAGACATATCTGGGCGTTACCGATAGTATGATTTTTGATGGCCTTCTTTCCACCATTATGACTAATGCTAACGAGACTGGTCTTATTAAATGATGCGTTTGGGGACTAGTCGACGTATTTTGCTAGCATTGTGTCTGTCGGCATTAAACCTGCGTAGCAAAGCATATTTAATATTTTTTTGTTAAAATGTTACCCGTCTTTATCACGGTCTGAGCTCTCGGCTTGATTCTGACTTGTCCAGCTTAGGCTGTAAATGTGTTTGCATTTATTTATTTATTTATTTACCGTGTCTTCTCTTAAATCATCCGCCCAGGAAACAACCATGCCTTTCGGTAACACGCACAATCAGGTGAAGATGAACTATGCCTCCGAGCAGGAGTTCCCGGACCTCAGTAAACACAACAATCATATGGCCAAAATCCTGACTCCGGCTATGTACGAGCGGCTGAGGAGCAAACAGACACCCAGTGGATTTACTCTGGATGATGTCATTCAGACTGGGGTTGACAACCCAGGTAAAAAAAAAAAAGAAAAAAAAAAATCGAGCGGATTTTCATCCGAACCGCCATCTGTTCTGCTTGGTTAACCGCATTTCACGCTCTTGCGTTTTCACGTTTCGCGTTTCTACGACGAGGGGGGGGACTCGATCTGCTTTTTTTTTTTTTCCACTGTGACCTAGTCAAGGGAATCAACCACTGCCATCATTTCCATACATATGGAGATCAGATTCCATTTACCAACGGCCCCACCCCTAAACAGGCCTCCACTATCAGGGAAACATTGCACAGCTTTATAGCAAATGCTAAAAGATGACCAAAGTTATGTAATCAGAATCAGCAGCTGATAATCCCCCTGCTGCCTTCAGGTTGGTTACGTCACATGCTGCTTGTATTATAACATCCAGTGTTTCTCATGGGGTTTTAATGCTGAGAAAGAAAAAAACAAAAAAACAGGTCTTTAAGCGGCTAAATGTAGCGTGGCAAGCAGCGTGCAGCCCTCACTCTGTAGATGGTGTTTCTGTCTAGCTCTGAGAGTATGGCCAAGATGACGCTGAAGAGGCTGTCGGCCCAGGACGAGTTCCCAGATCTCAGTCAGCACAACAACCACATGGCCAAGTTCTTAACCCAGGACATGTACAAGGCGCTGAGAGAGAGGGCGACACCCAACGGCTTCACCATAGATGGTGTCATTCAGACAGGGGTTGATAATCCCGGTACAGTAGCAGTCCCCCACCCGACACCTGACCACACACTGAGTTTGCAGGGATGTTTGTCTGTGTCCGGCGCCCACTGTCTGTCCGGTGACCCTGCCGAGTCTGTGTCCAGGCCACCCCTTCATCATGACCGTGGGCTGCGTGGCCGGGGACGAGGAGACGTACGAGGTCTTCAAAGAGCTGCTGGACCCCGTGATCGAGGACAGACACGGAGGATACAAACCCTCAGACAAGCACAAGACTGACATCAATTCAGATAACTTGAAGGTACCGTAGCACTGCCCCCTGACCTCACGAGGATGAATAAAATCCTGGGAGTTAGGAGTTTAATGCGTTTTTTTTTTTTTTTCTCTCTCTAAGGGCGGCGATGACCTGGACCCCGACTACGTTCTGAGCTCCAGGGTCCGAACCGGCCGCAGCATCCGCGGCTTCTGTCTGCCGCCCCACTGCAGCCGGGGGGAGAGACGGGCCGTGGAAAAGCTCTCCGTCGAAGGTAACTGGGGCTCTTTGAGCTGTAAATGGAGAAAAGGAGTCGACTGAACTGAGACAACTCCCATCGTCCACACAAATGGCCACACGATTCCAGACTGATGATTATGTAAAAGAACAGGTTTTTGTCCTGAGAGCACAATGATGGCCTGTGGGGAGAAACCTGCTTTTATTCCTTGCTACAGTATATGACGCCCCCTAGTGGTACCAAAAGGGAACAACAGCCACTGAAAGCTAAAGAAAACAGACAAATCCTTCAGTTCATAAAAATGGGCATTTTGTCTGACTATAGCCAACCAGTTTAAAGTGGCTGATTCTTAACATCTTAAATTTCTTGATTCTTAACTAGAGGATAGCAAATAAAGGAGAGCCCATTTACTGCAGCTTAAATGGTTGATTGGAATAATTTGCTCTTCTCCAAAAGCACAAACAACCTTCCAAATGAGTTTGTTCTTAAGCTGAAATCATAGCTTGCGTAGTAATTTGCTCCCGCTGATGTCCGAATCCGTCCCTGCAGCTCTGGACTCTCTGACCGGAGACCTGAAGGGCAAATACTACGCACTGAAGAACATGACGGACGCCGAGCAGCAGCAGCTCATCGACGACCACTTCCTGTTCGACAAGCCAGTCTCTCCTCTGCTGCTGGCCTCAGGAATGGCCCGTGACTGGCCAGACGCCCGAGGCATCTGGTAAGAGTGGGCCCCGTTTATTCTGCCCAATTTGTACCCGTTCGTCAAGTAGTCTTGGGGTTAATCTGTTTTTTTTCCGTCAGGCACAACGACAACAAGACATTCCTGGTGTGGGTAAACGAGGAGGACCACCTGCGTGTGATCTCGATGCAGAAGGGAGGCAACATGAAAGAGGTGTTCAATCGCTTCTGCACCGGACTCACAAAGGTTGGTGGAAATCGAGCAAGTTTTTAAAATAAGATCAAATCAACGTGAGCTGTTCTAAAAATAAGGTGAACCCCAAACTGTTTATAGATCGAGAACCTGTTCAAGGAGAGGGGCCATGCCTTCATGTGGAACGAGCACCTGGGGTACGTGCTCACCTGCCCCTCCAACCTGGGCACCGGGCTGCGTGCGGGCGTGCACGTCAAGCTGCCAAACATGAGCAAACACGCCAAGTTCGAGGAGGTTCTCAAGCGACTGAGGCTCCAGAAACGCGGAACAGGTGAGCACTCCTCGTCGTGCTTTTAGTCTGCGTTTAAACTCACCCGTTCTGTTGAGAAAATCAGTCAAAAACCCCACGCGTTTCATTTTGCTCACAGGCGGCGTGGACACGGCTGCGGTGGGAGGAATCTTCGACATCTCTAACGCAGACAGACTGGGCTTCTCCGAGGTGGAGCTGGTGCAGATGGTGGTCGACGGGGTCAAGCTCCTGGTGGAAATGGAGAAGAAGCTGGAGAAGGGGCAGTCCATCGATGACCTGATGCCTGCCCAGAAGTAAAGCCATTCCTGAAACTCCCAACTCCCTTACCTTCACACCCCTTCAAGCCCCTGACTCCCCCCATCCCCCCCCCAACCCCTCTTCCTTCCTGCCACCTCTGAATGACTGTCCTGGAATGCACTCCGTTTCAGTTCGGAGTTGTTAAAATCAAACCCTTCCTGTGGTAAAGATCTGAAATGAAATAAAACTGGTTCAAGCTCAACAACTGGTCTTTGCTCTGATTTTTATTTTATTAAATGTGAAGGTATCTGGGATGTTGTATTCAAAGATGGCTACTGGGCCCTGAAGGCAGCAAATTACAACTTGTGGTTGATTTACTTCTGTAAGATTACTTTAAATTTTAAATATGGTGGAAAACCTTGAATAAAAGTATTTTTAATTTGAGGAAAAATGAGCCCAGACACCAATTTAAGCTACATTGTAGGGAAATGTAGAATCAAGACTTAAATTCTGCACAAATTCTTTCAGAATAGGAAACTAGTGACACCGTGAGGCGTTTGCATGCCCTTTGCCTATAATTTTAACTTGTCTACTAGACAATTTCAAATACTCCAATTCACTTAATCAGATGCCAAGAACCATCCATCTAGTAATATTCAGCCAAAATACTGATTTATTTTCTGCCAACTGCTCATGAATCTTGTGGATATTGCTGGGCAGGCAGTGTAAGGGCAGTTTTTAAATGAAGTGGTTGTTGTGAGCATATGTCATCCATTTCCTTTTAAATGTAAACACTCAATTTAAAACTGGCTTGCCATCTGAGCCAAATACAAATGATCAGAAGGGACATTCAAGTTGACAGACACTTTAATTGAGACATGAGTGACCCTTTACCATGAGGGCATTTACACCGACTCCCCATCTCTACTTTTTACCAAAATAAAAAAAAAAAAAAAAAAAAAAGGAAAACCAATGAGTATTGTGGTGAAGCCGTCTTGAAAGTAAAGATACATTATTTACACAGAAAAAAACGAACGCTACGTCCTTTCTTCCAGGAGAGAAACCAAAAGATGAAATAAATAAGACCAGAAATGCTTTTTTTGTCCACATTCACAGCATGACAAATCATATTCAACTTGTTAACGTTGACCCTGTGTGGTCAGAACAGACTGAGATATTAGTAGGTAATTCAGTGATTATTGCCAAAAGCCTTTTGTCTATACATCATAATATTCAATACATACTCTTGTATTTTGTTTTTAAAAAAGGAGACATTTTGAAACTGCTACTTGGATGATTGTACAGCTTAAATACCTCTGGATATATATATTTATTTATACATGTATACTTTTTAAACCTTTTTGTTCATAGCTTTAACTCGTTGGCAACTTTGGAAGCAATGTTTTTGAAAGCGATCGATGATCCGGATATCCTTTTGAAGCGGACGCCGTTGAGAGACAGGCGGGGCAGCTTGCAGACCTCCATCTCCCACTGCACCAGGTTTTCGGCCCGCCCGTCTCCGTGGACGCACAGAAGCAGGAAGCTCTCTTGCTGCTCGTAGTCGCAGTTGTTGGCGTCGAGCACCTTGCGAATCTCCCGCATGATGTCGCAAGGCTCCATCGAGCTGGTGGTTCTCATACTCCAAGTGAATCGGAGGGAGCGGGGTTTACCGTCTTTATTTTCCCCTTTTTGATCCCCAGGTACATGGCGACTGTCGGGGGGAGGGAAGAGCAAAAAAGGAGGAGGTTAGTTTAACTAATGGGACGCTTGTTGGGAGGTGCGGGGCGGGGGTGGGTTTGTCAGAGAGGGAAAAAAAATTTGAATCAGCTTTTACGGTCACAAAAACGAGACGTTTTTCGGGCTGATTGTAGCAGAATTAGTCACAATTGAACATGGAGAGTCCGGTGTTTCCTGGTGAAACACCTGCCAGCCTCACACTGTAACTCATTCTGTAGAAGTGACATTTGGAGCCGTGAAACTGACAAAATGTAGTGAAAGGAAAACCACTGAACCGAGCTAAACTCGGTTTGAAACTCAGTTTACAGCTCCCCACCCGCCCCCCAGCCGGTGTTTACTTGAGCTAATTAAAGTGTAAAGTTTTACCAGTCTTTACACTCCATTTAAAATCATTTTTCCAAAATCCAAATATTTAAAACTGAAAAACCTGTTCATTATTAGACGTTTTACTACATTTTGTCGTTGACTTCAAACTATTTGTTCGCTTGATTTTTAGTCAAAACAAAAATCTTTGAAAAACCCAGAACTTTGATTTAACTTTTAACTTATACTGGAAAAAGTGTTTAAATGTTAAAATATTCATAGTTGATATTTTTTCTTTTTAAAAAAGTTTTCACAATCAAATATTTTGCTTTCAGTTCATTCTTTGGTTTCATACCAGCCATTATTTGGTCTCATTCTAGAGTTATGCAATTTTGTAGGAGTAATTTACCTTTTAAAATGTGGAATATTTGATTAATCATAATTTTTTAACCTTTCTGAAGGCTTTATTTTGGATTTGATTAAAAATTTGGTAGTAAAAAAACAAGCAGATTAAAACCAGAAGAGAAAAATGTTGGAAATGTTTGGAAACCTGAACCAGTTACATCAAATTTTAAAGCAATGTTTTTCTTTAACAGATTATATTCCAAATTCCTATTCATATTCTGTTTCAGTTGATTTTCATATTTTAAAAAGCTTCACACATTCTTAACGTCTTAATGGTAAACTCTGCACAAAGCTGTTACCAAAACATCAGTGGAATCTTATTAAAAAAAAAGAAAAAAAAAAAAGAAAAGAGTGTAGCCGGCTGAATATTTTCTCAACCTGGGTTTTTCATAGATTCCATGAAAGGGTACTTATTCTCTCTGATTAAGACTTGATGTTAATAGCTGCTGAATTAATGGGTGTCGGGGCTTTTTCTTTTTTTTCCCGCCCTCTTCAGATTGAAAAAACAAAAAGACAAACATGCCATGCCGACAGAGCAGCGGACGAGTACAGCGTCATGCATCCGGAAAAAACAACAACAATACAGAAGCCAGATCACGCTGTAAATACTTAACACCCAGAGGCATTCAAACATCCCAGGAGGAACAAAGCAGGGAGGGGGGGGGGG